AAAGCAGACTCTTTTATTTACGAATTATAATCAGCAATATTAGCTAATTTTCATCTTCAGTTGGTTTCATCTTAACTATAGTAGGATCATATTCGATGCAATCATTGCCTGTCAAGGGATTCAGTGCAGTACGGTTTTAAGGGGTTTAGAAATTGAATAATTTATTTATGCGTTATGAAGGGATGAAGGGATCAATCAGTTCACGTCTAGCACCACTATTACTACAAAAATTCCTTTATTCTCATAAACTATTTTAAATGTAATTTACTATAAATCCAATTTGTTTTTTAAATTCCACATATGTACTACTTATATGATGTTGATTAAGGTACAGATTTTTAATTAAAAAAAAAATCCCAACAATAATTTCCTTTAAAATCGCTTTTAACAAAATCAACAGGTCATGAATTACCAATTGGATCATTTAAATGATTTCGCTACTGCATTCAGATGTTATAAAGAAAAATGGAACTTTGTTTTTTTAATGGGCTACACTGTATGTTTGTATTTACTTAGCTTCATTATACTAAGGTGAAAAACTGAACAGCTAGTTCTATGATCAATTAATTATTGAAACCAAATAAACTTTTGTTTTTAATTTTTCTTTTTTAGTTAAATATTTTTATTCTCGTTCTTCATTGAGTTTTTTTGAGAGGGTTAATTTTTTAATTTAGATTTTAAAGATATTTGTATTACTTGAAGTAATCATAGGCAATTAAATGAAAACCTATGAGAAAATCAAAATATTCAATTACAAAAAGGATAATTGTTTTATGTTGATATTATTTTTTAAATGTTTCGTGCAGGTTCCAACTAATCAAACAAAAATGAATGTATTTCTGTAGAGTAGTGACAAATAAGGATTAGAATATGTCTATAAGTGACCTTACAGTGATTAAAAGCAAAATGTTTTTCCGACATTGCAAGTTCAAAACATAAAAATGTAACCTAAATGATTGTTTTAACGGTAAGTTTTAATTGCCAAGGCAGAAAGAGAATGAATAATATTTTTAATCAATTTATTACCATTTTAAGCTATTTTCACAACATGTACAATAGAATCGTTTTAGGCACATCGTCTCAGAAAAGCTTATTTCATAACATGTCACGGACATTTTTTATTTTACAATGTCATATAATAGTATATTACGTAATAAGTGTTGTAAAAAGCATTTTACGCACGAATGGAAAAGTTACGCTTAGCGGCGAGTGCGTAATTCTATGAGTGCGTAATTGCATTACACCACGTATTACTTACTACACTTTACCTATGACCACTACTGTAAATATTTAAAAACACACCGTCTGCGATCAATGCAAGATTCCTATTACGTCGTACGGTAAAAAAATCGCACAGCTTGGTAAAAAAATCATACAGTTTTCCTAGCAGCCGCCTAGCAACGATTAATACAAACAGTATTGTATTGACCGTTGCTAGGCGGTTGCTAGAAAAACTGTACGATTTTTTTACCGTACGTAATAGGAATCTTATATTGATCGCAGACGGTGTGTTTTTAAGTATTTACAGTAGTGGTCGTAGGTAAATAAGTTTATTTACAGTAGAATCTGATTTGATCAGCCCTCGATTAAATTACTTAACCACATTATCTGACTGTTTTTATGATTTGTATTGCGTTAATAGGCTCTGTCTTTTGAGTAAAAAACTTCATTTTAACTATTCTTAACTTCAAATTATCCGACCGTGTTTATATTTAATAAGTGTTTTTAGTATTGAGGCCAAGTTAACAATCTTTCCTTTATTTGAAATTACCAAGTTCTGTCAGGGTTAAACAAACAAGGTTCTACTGAAGTTGTACATTGAGTTAAATGCTACTACAAAATGTTTATACAAGTTTTGTGGCACGTCTGATTAAAAGAATGTCACTTGAAAATGAAAATGTATAAATTGTTCGAAAACATGTTATACAGGGTGTCCCGAAATTGATGCAACAAAATTTAGTCACAGATTCTTAAGACTTTAGGAGACCCGTATTTTTTATTTAAAAAACTCCTGTGTACCAAATTTTGTGATTCTTGTACAACAGGGTTCTGCGATATAAAAAAAGACTATTCTTAGGGGTGGATTTCAGGGGGCTGTAACTCCGAAAGAGGGGGCCACTTGGCAAAAAGAAAAAATACGGTTCCCCTAAATTTGTCTTAAGAATCTATGACCAAATTTTATTGCATTAATTTCGGGACACCCTGTATAAACATTCAGTACAGCTAAGTATGTATAAATGTTCTAAATATACATGCTGTGAAAAACTTAGATCTTATAATCTTATAAGAAATGAACCACAAAAGCTCAAATTCTCATTTTTTTAAATTATTTTTTACTGTTTATAATAGTCTCTATATTTTTGTAACGATTGTAAAATAATGAATATTCGTAATGAAATACTTTTTCTAGAGAAAAATTTGCAACGTTACCACAATTTTGTTATAAAGGAATAAAAGAAGTTTCTCCGTTTGATAGTTTGTAACAGTTTTTACTAGGATTTGTGTCGTGCACATTTTTTTTTAAATGCGGTTGCAGTTTGGCATCTACATTTGTTATGAGTTTCTTAGCCTGTAAGTGACCATCAATACACGTTAAGCTCATATTTGTACTATATACATTATTTTGATTACTTGTATAGATATAGTTTTTATGAGGCAATTACCAAAATAAATGTATTTTAATTTTCAAAAATATATAACCGTTAATTTACCATTAGTTGGTGTTTTTTTTTTTTTTTGTTAAACATTGTGCTTCATTAAGAACCAAGACACTTTTGTATCATTAAAATTTTTTCAATTTGAATGGCTTTATAGATTTACTTGAATCAATTATTTTTTTTTAGGAGGAACATTTTTAGAAAATCACTTAATTCTAAAATCAATATCACTCAAAATTGCAGTATCTCAAATTTCGGCAATTATAAAGACTTAAAAGTTTTAAAATTGTATTTTTGATTCAACTTAAAAATCTGAAATGATAAAAAAATTTTTGGTAAATAGTAGCCTATTTGTCTTTTTTTCATAATTTTAGGCATTCCCAATATCTTTTAAGTCTGCATAAAAAAATGTTGTGTATTATAAGTTGACAAATTTGAGACACCGCAATTTTCGAAAAAAATATTTAAAAAAAAGTAGGCCATGTATTACCAATAAATCGTCGTAATTGGTTCAAAAGATACATTCAGAAGGCCACTGTATATAGAAACATTTATTGTGTGGAGGTTATCCTGGTTTTTAATAGACCGCTGTATACAGGATGTTAATTAAATACATAGACAAACTTATAAGGCACGATTTTTTGTGACTGTGACAAAAAATTTATCTAAACCTGGATCAGCAGGTCAGTACTTTTCAATCGACAGGGTGTTGTAATTTATAAAAAAAATATATTTTCTAAAATATCTGCACACTTAATGTAAATCAGTGGTACTTAACCTTTCTTTCGCAGACCCATTAAAAAAAAATTACGTTCAAGCACCCCATTATCTTAAATCTTAGAATAATCAGAGTTAAAATTGTTTATTTTTGTGCCAAAGTACATTACTATTAGTACAATAATAATTATTGGAATTCAGACGTACCTAGATGGTAAATTAAAAATTTGAGCTTGCTTATTAGCACAATTCTTTAGTATAAGTTTTTCCGACATCAATTGAAGAAACAAAAAGTTGACAGTATATACCAGGTTCAGTCGCTGACGCATCAACTCGGCATTGAAATATTTGAAAAACTTGTTCCTATATTTATTTACCCATACCACAGTATACTATTAGTATACTGTGCCCATACCCATATACAGGTCTGGTCTGATTGAACTAAACGTGAAGGTGGTAGAAATGTATATGCCCAATTGAAAAATGCGAGCGCGGGCAAACGAAATACAAACAGCTGCATTGAGCCACTGGGCAATAAATCTCAGCTGTTGACAAATTGCCCAGCAGTGCAGTGCAGCAATGCGGAATTTGATGTGATTCAGGCAATTTTAATTTATTATAGGCACCTTTTAATCATTGATATTACAATTGCGAAAGGGAGAAATAATATTATTACAACATGGCATTTTGGAGACCTTTTGAAACGGAACAAAATGAAATTTACCATCAATATAATAAAATTGTTTCATGACAAATAATTAAAATATGTTGTTGGCCAAATGAACATATACTAGAAATGTTCTACACATTACATACAAATTATGATAATTTTTTACCTTTAGCAGAAAACTTTTTTAGGAACGCCTATGAAAGTCATTAAATTTTATTGCCAGGCGTTTTTTATATGTTCAACTGACTTTGGAAAGACTATACATGACTGAACATTAGTAAGTGTGAAAATAAGATGTGCAGTTTTTATTTTTTAAATGAATGGTTATATAAAATTGTGGAATACTGAAAATGAAGAGGATTGTTTGTTTATCAATTTAATTTTATTTTGTCTATGTACCTACCTATCCGCCTATGCAATCCCTTGCATACTCCTAGGTTGAATACCACTGATGTAGATGATTAAACTTGGGCAAAATAAAAATTTGGATTTAAACACATGTATGTATTAGTAGTGGAGATACAAGAAGTCATTTTCATTTAAATTCCCAGAAATTCAATGCCACTGAATATTTAGAAAATTCGATTCACTACTTGTAACTCCCAGTCATATTTTTGAAAAAAAAAGTTATTTTTCATATTAAAATCATTTAGATCTGACATAACTAGAAGAACTCATTTCGCAAAGAAAGTTCATAAGATCGTTTTTTTTAAATATAATTTTAGATACAAAGTAATCATAAAGTAAATATATCAGGTAGGTATCATAATCACAAAGAGAGGAATCTAAAAAACAACAAATATAGTGTTCCACATTCAAAAACAAGAAGTTTATATGTACATTCGAAATCCAAGGTTTTTTTATATAATGTAAATTTGAAAATTTTGCTGGCAGTTGATACCATTTTTTTTCATAATTAACTTCTTTAATGTGGAAATGTTGAATTATAAAACTAGTTCCTTTAATTGAACACCCTTTTATTTCCTTTAATAAAAGCAATTACAGAGTAAACTAGTCAAGTTTATGAAGGTTGCAACAAACGAATTAGGTAAGTGTGGATGCACTAAAAAACTGATACAAAACTGATTTACAAAACTAACATATCACTTTAGCCAGGTGGCCATTGCAGTTGTCTTCCAGACAACACATGAATGTGTAGATGATATACCGATTGTGCTCCAATGGGGCCATCGTTAATCACAATTCTAAAACCATTCTTTAGGTTTCTTTTCTGGGCAATCTTTCGAGCCACAATCAGAAGGTGACCGAGAAGTGCTGCATCAGTATCTTCAGCTTTTGACAGCTGCGGAATAAACTTGCGTGGAATGACCAGGAAATGTACCGGGGCTTGAGGGTTTATGTCGTCGAAAGCTACACACTGAAATGTTTTCAAAATTAAGTTGGATGTTTAAAAATCGTAGAGCGCTAATTTCATATTTTGAACTAATAGAAATATAATAAAAAAAATACTCTACCAAATTGTCCTCGTAAATAAAGTTACAAGGGATTTCCTTTCTCAATATTTTTCCAAAAATTGTATCGCCACCGGCTTGTGCATTTTGGGCAAGCTGCACTTCATCCGCCATTTTTCCGACTTGACACTTGACACTTGACGATCAACTGTCAAAAGTCGGAAATTATAAAATTCTGTCGAGTGTCAAATTACCTTCAAATTTAAATGTATAAAACCTTATTAAATTCAAATGCTTTTTAAGATGTTTTCTAAATGAAGTGTATACCTTTTTAATACACTATATAACTAAATTAATAATATAAAACAAAAAGTTGCAGTTGCAAGTTGAACATTAAACCATGTACTGAGGATTTTAGTTGCAGAAATTACTAAAATTCAAAGGAAAGCAATAAGGTATTTTAAATTTTTACATTTAATATTTAATTAGTTAAATACATATGAGTAACTAAATTAGTTACTCATATGGTTAAATAATAAGTATATATACTAGAGATTTCCAAATTTGTCACCAAACATTGATTTTTAAAAAATACTTCTAAGATTTTTGAGTACATTACCTACAAATTTCAAATAAGGCATCCTTATTGTGACCATTGATATCTATTTATTATTGAGATGATTTTAGAGTCCTGTTTACATATTAGTAAAATGACTATGTACAAGGTGTTATTGATATACTTTGCTAAACCTTTATTAATGGTGGATTCAAGTCACAAATCGATATAAATGGGTCTTGTAACATTTGTCTCAAACCACTTGGTTTTCGAGGTATAGGATGTTGTAATTAAAAAAAGAATCACATTTGTTTAAATATTTATTAGGATGATTGATTTGATTAAACCATCTGCCAAAGATACTGACAAACACCATCAACCTTAGAATTTCGATTCACTGAGTATTTTGAAAATTGAATAAGTAAATAATAGTAAATCTTATTGGTATTTACAAAAAAGATTTCTTCCATTTTCGAGCCGGTTGGTGGCCAAGCGTCTCGAGGTATCAATACTTGAATGGATGGATGTTACTGTCACGGGTTGGATCTCCGCAGCTGTTAGACCGTAGGTAAGGTATAATATATTCGAAGATGGGAATTAGGCACCCTTTTTGTGGGTATGGTAAGGTGAAAGAACATTGGTTTGAATCAATGATTGATATTCGTCAGCATCCCTGCACTGAATGGTGACTGGGGCTTACCCACATAAGTCGTTTTTGGGCGCATATGCGACCTACTGAACAATAAATAATAATATGCCGCCCCCTCTCTCACACAAACCTGACTTCTGGGCTAATTGCTGCGATTAGAATAATTCGAATGTAAGGTAGAATGGTGCAATTAGAATGAGAAATAGAGATATTAGTATTATTTTATTCGATAAACGAGCCACTTATAATTTTTTTAAAACCTTCACACAATAAACCTGCCATATTGTCATCAGTCAAAAAACTCCAAAACTATTCGTATCACAAAAAAATTAGGGAATTTTTTGATAGAAATACAATTTTAAATCAGAATTAAAAAAAATCGGTTGTGTAACAATTCTGAAATTTTTTAGGGAGTTACCGTTCTTTTTACACCAATATTTTTTTGGACTTATTACATTGTATTTAAATTTTTTTGTGACATGAATAATATTGGAGTTATTTTCAATTTATCATGTCATTTGCTCATTTTTAATTTAAAATGGCTTTTTTATCAAATAAAATGAGATCAATTTTCTCAAAAATATCGCAATTTAGTGGCGTTGAAATTATAGGGTTCATAATTATGGTTTCATGTTTCCCATTAATTGTGCCACAATTGGCAGATTTGTGTACCAACTCAGCAAATTTATACCCATAATTATTTATTATTAATCCAAGTTTTGTTATCTATGTCAAGCATCTAGAGATACTTAAATATATATTTTTAATTTCAATAAATTCTTGTCACGAGAACGAAGTGCTTCAAGTTTGGTGGAATATTCAAATATCTTATTCATTGATACTACGGTAATTTCTTATGTTCTATGTTAATGCCAATCAATATTGAATTGTATGCAGTAAAATGCAGAAAATAAGATCCTTTGAAATTAGACTTTATTTTAGGAAATAGGCCCACAAAACAAACTTAAATGTAACACTTAAAAGATAAGCACAGCAAGTTGAATAACACAGTTAATAAGACTTATTAAGGTCTTATCGGTACTAAATATAATCTTAAGACATTAACTACTCCAATGTAGGTGTGAATTAGAAATATGTTATGAAAAAAAAAACACCCTTATAAAGCAAAATTTTAGACAGTACTTATTTTCGATTAAATTTTTATGAAATATATTACTTATATATTCTAGGTATTGTTTTTCAACAGAGAAAAAAAATATATTAGAATTACTAGAATCAGAACAAAATTCTCTGTAGATTAGTATAGATTGGAGTTTAAAACCTTACAGTGCAGCAAGACAAACTAAAATTAAACAGGTATTTTAAAGCACTAAACAATACAAACAGGTAAGTTATATATCACTAATTGGTTCCAGTCGATCCAAAACCACCCTCTCCACGATCTGTATCAGTCAATTCCTATAGAAAAAAAATATTATTACCCTTATAACCTCCGTTTAAAAAAACTTACCTGAACCTCCTCAATATCTGGATAATAAATCCTTTCACATATCAACTGAGCAATGCGATCGCCACTCTTAACTTCAAAATCGGCATCGGAATGATTGAATAGTACAACTTTAAGGACTCCTCTATAATCTTCATCGACAACTCCAGCTGAGAAAAGTAAATTAATTAAAATTTTACTGTAACGATGTATTAAAATTTTATCAGATTTTTTTATCAATTTTTATCAATTTCCTTAATACAATGGAACATTTTACTGTAATGAATATAGAGGTATATTAAAAAATATATATCAGAGTAATATTTTTTTCTTATCTTGCTTAAAGTATCAGTAGATACCAATTTCTTTACATAAAACAATATTAAAACAACATATGTATAAATAGGTATCGTCAGAAATACTAAAAAAAGAAAAATTTAACTCAAGGAAAATACCTCGCACTAGTATTTGTTGAAAATTTGATAGGATTATCTTTAATATTTCAAAGCGATACAAACTTTAATATTTCTACATACCTCCAACATCGATGAAATTTTTCACGGCTAAACCAGACCTAGGCGCTATTCTGCCATAACAGCCTTCAGGAAGCTGAATCTTGATTCCAGTATCTACTAGGGCTTTGCCCCTGGCGGGCACAGTAACGTCACAAGCACTTTTAAGATCATAACCAGCTGCTTTTACTGATCCTTTGGTTGGAGGGTAGGCTTCTGGAATAACTTTTGTGTATTTGAGAACTAATGAACCATTTACTGAAGGCATCTTGGCGGTTTCTTTGGTTTCACTTGAGTTTTTACTGGAGCTTTTAACGGAGAGAATCACTCTAGTCGAAATGCCGCCAAATAATGCTTGCAACGGTTTTCCAAATAGGCGCGGAAAGTTGGTTACCATAACGTAGGGATTTTATGTTTTTACGTGTGGGAACTACACCCAATGTTTTTAAATCTGCAAATACTATTGGTGGAATATTTATGAACAGATCAGATAAAATTTGCGGGAAATCTGTTTCATTTAAAAATTATAATGTTGGTTATTGTTGATTGAATGCAGTTGGCAATAAAAAAATCTACGTAATAAAAAAAATTGTAATAGTACTTTCTCCGATTTACTATATATTAAATTTACTTATATACTTAATTTTATAATGCAATATGTACATATCAATGTATTATGGCGGTAAAGTGAAACTATTTCTTTATTTTATATATTTTAGGTTACAATCGACAAATATGAATTTTAACAGACTATACAACAGGAAAACTTACATTTTATGTTACATTTTCCTTGCTTTTTAATGCTTGCTATTGAAATGTGGTTGTTTAAACCATAATTGTTTTCAAAACACAATCATTTTGTACCGCCGTATTGATCTTATCTACCAATTCTACCATTTGACATTTGACAATTTCTGACAATTTCATATCATCATATAACCCACAAACCATGTAACCTAAGATTTCTAAATATACAACACAACATTGCCAATCCAATACTAATCATGTTCTGTGATAAATCATAGCTTTGTTTTGGTTCCGACAGAGAACGGTTCTAGGACGGTTCAAATTAGTTAACCATTCCATTCATAAGAACATCTAAGCCCAGACATACTGACAATGCACTTGGGTAACTATTTTGAACTGTTCTAGGACTGTCCGCTGACAGAACCAAAACAAGCCTGATGTCTAAAAAAAAATTAAAATATCATAAAACATAAAACCAATGAACTATATACACTGAGGAGAGAGTTTACCACAGATCAAGAAAAGACATAGATACATAATTTATACCTATGTGGCTTGAAGCCACAATAGTTCATGGGAGGGGTGACGAAGTTGTGTTTACATTCCCTCATAGGCAGTGGCGTATCATTTTATAGGGGCTGATTGCAACTAAAATAATATGTTTAATAATTATAATTGTAAATTTTATTTTCCGCAGATAAACTAGTAATACGGGAAAATATTGTGCCATTAATAAGTATGCTAAGAAAGCCTGTTTTATTTCTTAAGGTATCTATGAGATTATTTAACTTTTCTTCAACCTATTTTATTACTTATGAACTTCATACTGACACAATTTTACTCTCATTTATATACAAAAGGAATGATATATTTCATCATACTCTTAAGCTGTTAAATGAATATGATTTTCACGAGATTTAAACAAAACAGAGTAATTAAATTCCATTTGGGTAGGTATACCCTAGTTTTAATTCTAATCACACCGTGTCATACAGCTGTATGACACGGTGTAAAATTTGGTATCAACTCTTAACTCTTACATAGAATTTATAAAATTTTTATATAGGAAACTAAAAGATTGACCATATTTTAAAATTATAATTCATTTTATAGATTCGGTCCATTAACCCTTCCTATCACAAACACATATGTGTGAATTTATATAGAAAACTAAAAATTAGAACAGGTTTAAATTTATATTTTATATAGAATTACGTGTAGATTTTTACATTGCGTGTTGCGGCTATATTACTGGAGTTAAAGTTTGTCCCCAATAAAGCTGTTAATTGGTTTATTTTTTAGGTTGTCCCTATTGAATGAATGTTATGAATGAAAAAAGACAACCATATTACTCAAATAGAAATTTATTGATTATGAAATAAAATATGTTTTGTTAACTTATGCCTTATCCTAAGAATATTATCCTGCATTTTATTACAAAAGTGGTCAGAGCACACTTAGGTACATATAGATATTGTTTCTGTATATGGAATTCCTAAGCTTCTAAACCAGTGTCTTCTAATTAGAAGATTTTTCGGAAATCTGTAACATATAAAAAAAAATCGATTAAATTTTTTACGCCTTTGTTTATCTGATTTACTAATGCTTTTTGGCACTTAAATTTTGTCAAAGCGAAATATTTAAATTTAACCCCAACAGCTTGATTAAATGGCTACGTCTATGATTATTGTTACTTACTTATGGAACGACCGCCATTATTCCATGGCTAGAAATTGGCCTCAATAATTTGGGATCGAGGGGGATTATCCCTCTTTATCCTGCCTCATCTCGTGTAGGCCTGGACAGCCTTCGTAGGTGGGCCCCATCCGTCGTCTACCCCGACCGCAAATGCGGCCGGTGTAGGCGCTTTGTGGGACCTCCTTTTGTCCTGGCTGGGCCCCGCCGGCTAGGGCCCTTTCTTCTGGCGCTCTTCTTGCTTCGCCGGCTCGTCTGTGTAAACCCCGGGGGTAGTGTCATGTTTATGTGTGGTATGGTTGGGTAGGGTAGTGCGGCTATGCAGCCTGGGATGCGCTTTGCTAAGGTGGCCCTTAGGCTAGCGCGGGAGG